GCCATGATGCTCCCACTCCAGACAGACGCAGGTTAAGATCCTCTCTGGTAAGCCAGCTCATGGGCTACACAGAATATTAGAAATGGGTTAGAACAATATGTAAGAGTTAGCCAATAAGAAACTGGACCTAGCCAGGCCAGGCAGTGTTTGAAAGAATACAGTTTCCGTGTAATTATTTCTGGGTATAAACTAGCCATGCGGGCGGCCGGGTGCCGGGGACGTAGCCCCGCCGCTCCTAATTTCAACACCTGTCTCTGCCACCTGAGTGCTCGGATTAAAGGTGTGTGCAACCACCACCCAGCTATGTTAGCCTTTTAATATGCACCAAGAGTAACAAGATCTTTTAGATTTTTCCTTTCACCCCAAGCCTCTGAAATTCCATGTGTATGACCTCTAGAGCATCTTTGGATATTGCACCCATGGCAAGGATTTCATCTCTAGGTATTCTTCATGCAGTTTCCACTGGGGAAGAAAAAGGCAGGTTCACATGCTCAAGTTGATTTAATGTACCTAAAATTTTCCAGAAACTAAACTGAGTAGCCAAAATAATTTTCTTTGAACATTTATATTCTACATGACAAAACTTGATGTTTTTCAAAGGATTGATTTGACTTGGAAGCATAAGCATGTCCAATCCACTTTTTGTAAGGCAGCCAGAGGTGAATACTCGCTGTCCATTTTCCTGTCCATTATAAAGACTCGTGGTCACAGCTCTTGTAACCAAAGACAAATTAACAAGAAAAATGTGGTGAATGAATTGGCTCATAGATGAGCTTGAAGAATCAAAGGACAAGCTTGAATTGTCTAATTTCTTTGGTTTTTCAAGAAAGTGTATCATGTAACCCAGGCTGACTTCAAACTCGCTGTATAGCCAAGGATGACCTTGAACTTTTGATCCTCCTGCCTCTACCTCCCAAGTGCTGGGGTTACGAGTGTGCATCTATAAACCTGGTTTTATACAGTACTGGGGGGATCATGCATGCTAGGTGAATATCACCCATGTTCTATCCCTTCCTTGAATTAGCAGAAATGTAGTTTGACAAAAAGGGTATAAGTTTTAAATAATAACTTATAATAATAAATACTGTGTATGTATTTAAAAATAGATTGAGATAGAAACCCACCAATGCTTGTTTCTCAAATTCTCTCTGGTCTATTAATTAAAGCATTTCTTTTTTTCTAGGTATGAGGCAGGGCCCATTTTAGAATTTGGTATCATGATTGACTATCACCCCGCCCAAAAAAAAAGTCAAAAAAATTCTCTATGGCCACCTCTTCAGAAGAAAGGTACAAGAAGTTAAAGAAAAAAAATAAGTTTCATGACTGGCTTTGAGGAAATGATATTCTAGCGTTTGTGACCTATCTTGAGCAAAAGGAAATAAAATCTCTATGGCTTGCTCCAAATAAAAATAAAGGATATGCCAGGCAGGTGGGAGGAGGTCAGAAAGAGAATTTACCTGTGAGGCTAGTCCTGAGGTTTCACTTTGGGGTGTGGCTCCCGAGCAAGGACGTGTCAACTGTCATATCTGTTCAGATTCAACAGCGCACTAATCTGGAGTAGCGCACTATCGTTCATTTTGTATTCACAGGAATATTTCACGATCGGAGAGCAATTCCAAATTTATCACCTTTCTCTTCCTAGTCAGGGCAAACAATTCGATAATGGTGGTTATTATTTAAAACTTTCAGAATATTTTATTCTTGCTGGAAAAAATGTACAAAACTATTAGTATTAATTTGTAGTGTCAAAAAATGTTGAAATTCACATAGATTCTTAGACCTGTCTAGTTACGTCAGGAATAAGCTTTATGTTTCATTAGCGCTTCAGACTATCTTGCTCATAAATCCTGTTGTTATATTTGCTTTGATTATTGGGTATTTATTTAGCGTACATTCTTTTTGTTTCAAGAAAATCTTGAATTGGAGTTAATAGCCCAGTAAAACCTTGTAAAACTCTTTGTGGCTCAACAAACAGGCATTGGCAATGAACACAGGATTAAGTCCATTGTCTGTTTCTTTCAACAGTTCCATAAACCAGTGATGAGTCACATTATTTGCACATATGCTGAACAGTTTTAACAATGATGTCTATGATGTTCTTCACAGAGTCTACTGCAGGGAACTGAAGCCAAGTATTTTCAGTACGTATTACACAGTAGTATGACGTCATCAGAAAAATACCACCCACAATCAAAGTAGAATTGTCCACTTAATCTGGAACACCACCCACTTTCCATTATATCTAATGGAACGCCTTCTTTGGCAGATGTAAAAGACTTTAAAATATCTGTGCTATAGGATTTTAAGGCTATGAGTTACCATTTCTTTGTGAATAGGGAACTTCTTTGGAGTCAAAACATACATTAACTCAACAATCTCATATATCACAAAAATCATTTATAGCTCAAGAAAAGTACTTGAATTTTTAAAATTCATTTATTTATTATTTTATGTATATGAGTGTTTTATCTGTGTATGTGTGCTATATGTATGCAATGCCCTCAGATGCCAGAAGAGGGCATCAGCTCCCCTGAGACCTGAGTTACAGACATTTATTTGCCATCTTGTTGGTGCTAGGAATTGAACCCCAGTCCTCCATGTCCTTGATCTACAGGCTCCTGCAACCAAGATTCCACCTGATCATGTTCTAATACTATAAAACCAACTTTCCAAATAAGTTATTCGAGAAAGATTTATTTTGTTTCATAATTACCATTATTTTTACTTGCCTTATTTCTGTTGTGTGGTCAGGCCCTACACATACCAGGTGAAGATGAAGTTGGCCTTGTTCATCTCCTCCTTGGGGCACAGCCAGTACAATTTGCTCATCTGTGGCAACAAGCAGTGCATGGAAAAGAACACAGATTTGCCTACCTTCTGGTCAAGCATGACCGCCTCCTCCAGGTTGTCTCCAAGCATCTGGAAGGTCCTGTAGTCCTCGTGGCCTGGAAGAGAGACAGGAAGGCAATTCAGGCCTCCATGTCCTTGATCTACAGGCTCCTGCAACCAAGATTCCACCTGATCATGTTCTAATACTATAAAATCAACGTCTGGATACCAATGTCAAACATGCCCAACAGTCCTTGGCATGGCATGCCTGCTTATAGTGGACGGGGCTGTCACAATCTGGCAGGGACATGTACTGGATCACCTTCAAAGTTACCAAACTTTCTTACATCTGTAAGAATGGCCAAGATTAAAAACACTGATTACAACTTTTGCTGGAGAGGATGCTGGTGGAAGTGCAAGCTGGTACAGCCCTTTTGCATGTCAGTGTGGTGATTTCTCAGAAAATTAGGAAATAACCTTCCTCAAGACCCAGTAATACCACTTTTGGGTATATATCCAAAGGATGCTCAATCATGCCACAAGGACGTGTGCTCAACTATGTTCATAGCAGCTTTGTTTGTCATAGCCAGAACCTGGAAACAACCTAAATGCCCCTCGACCGAAGAATAGATAAGGAAAATATGGTACATTCACACAATGGAGTACTACACAGAAGAAAAAAAAATGACATGTTGAATTTTGCAGGCAAATGGCTGGAGCTAGAAAACATTATTTTGAGTGAGGTAACCCAGACCCAGAAAGACAATTATCACATGTACTCACTCATAGCTGGTTTTTAAACATAAAGCAAAAAAAAAAAAAAACCTACAAATCACAATCCCAGAGAACTTAGACAACAATGAGGATACTAAGAGAGACATGCATAGAACTAATCTACATGGGAAATAGAAAAAGCCAAGATCTCATTAGTAAATTGTGAGCATGAGGACCTTGGGAGAGGGTTGAAGGGGAAGGGAGAGACAGGGAGGGGAGCAGAGAAAAATGTAGAGCTCAAAAAAATTAATAAAATTAAAAAACCCCATAAAGTTACCAGGTTTGAGGGAACCCTTATTTGGTTTTTGATTATGTGTATGTATCTGGAATGCACATGCATGTCAGCTGCCCTCCGAGGCCAGAAGAGGGCTACAAATCCCCTAGAGCTGGGTTCTTACTGTTCTCTTGGAGGTCTAGAATTCATGTCCAAGCATCCACATCAAGTGGCTCACAACTGCCTACAACCCTAGCTCCAAGTGGTGTGATACCCACTTCTGGCCTCTAAAGGCAACCACACACACATGCATCTACCCCCATACAGGCATATATGCGTAATTTT